GAATTCACAACCTCTTGGTTGAAAATATATGTCAGTTACCATTGAGTTATGCTCGCTTCTTAACTAAAACATTAAAATTTTATTTAAGAAGTTTGATTAAGAAACATTGATGAACAATACTCATGGAAGCTGAATGAGTCAAACTACTCATTATTGTAACAACATTTATTGTTTTATACGTAATTGTGTACACAATATTTGTGCAGTTGGCGTGGTAGTGAAGAAAGACCTATAATTTCTCATAATTATTTGAATTTTTCATTTCAGTTGCATAAGAATGGCAATCTGTTTTGGTTTCTGCAGACAAAAATGAAGAGGATTTCATATACTAAGATTACGTCCTTTCTTCTTCTACTTTAGATAGGATTTTTATTTTTAAGGAATTCACTTGGTTTACTTTACTTAAAGCACTCTTACGGAGGATTCAATCTTACCTTACACCTTTTTAGGACCAATATGCATAGTTTGGTTAACAATAGAGTTTCTAATCAATTTGTGGAGATATTAAGTCATTATAACCATCATGTGTTTGGCGCATGATATGGATGAAAAAATCTTTATTTTCTACCATTCAAATCCTCTAGATATCGTTAGGGTCTTAGGATTTCCCCTAGATTCACGAGAAATATATCCTAGGGGAAGTATCCTGATGGCCCTAGCTAGGATTTTCCCTCTATAAATAGAAGATAAATACTTAATGAAGGTACACTAGAAATCTCTATTATTGGCTACGCCTAAAGACCCTACTCTCCATACTTGACTTCTCCGATTCTGACTTAAGCATTAGAGCATGTTTAGTGCTCTTAATGCTCTTCTATTTTGTAGGTATCGACAATCTCTTTTATTCTAGAAGATTGATGCGGATTTGACGAAATTCTAGGAGGCCAAATTTCTGCATCAATCTTTGTTTTAATCAACTTGAGGTGTTGGATTGTATTGGAGGTACACCTTTTTCTTGAAGGTGGTGATCAATTAAGTTTGATTAATGCATAAAATCAAATAAAAAATAACGCCAACCTTACAAATAAAAAAAAATCTAAATGTTTTAGAGTTCATTTGACACATATGAAAATACTTTTCAACAAATTTCCAAAGAAAAATACAAATCAGCAATTTGATGAAATTGAAAGCTTAGGATAAAAATTGACATATAGTGCGAAGTTCAGCATTAAGAATAATATATTTTTAATAAAGTTCGTATAAATTTGTGCTACTGCATAAAAGTATAGATCCATCGTTATGCATGATCGCTTATTGTAGAGATAATTTTATTGAATCAGGATGAATTTTGTGTAACAAAATAGTGGATGTCATGCATCATATAAGATAAGAGGATAAACTCAAATAAAAACACAATCAAACAACATTAAATTGTGGGAGAAAGTGTTAACAAGAAAAACTTTTCCTCGACTTTGCCCTACTAAGATAAAATTCATGCACGAACGTTTTTAATGTCAAAAAGGAGAGAAAAAAGGGGAAAAAAAGAATGGCCGTTTTTCCACAATATTATTTAACTTGTAAATTGAAATTTTATTGGAAACAAACATAATAAAAGCTAAAGATGGAAATAAATTAAACATGACAACCATGAAATTTAACTTATATGCATGAAAGTTCAACTCTCGATTTTAATTGGTCAAAAAGAAAAAAAAATACTACGATTTTAATTATTTTATTTTGAAAAATTTAATGGGTGACAAAACTACTTACCATGTTTATGCAAATTTGTCGCACGAAAATAATTGGTAGAAATGACAATACATACTTTCTCTAATATATCACTAATAAACATTTTTTTCTATAAAATATATCACTAATATACTATTTTTATATTATATTGATAAAACATATCAATATAACATATATCATGGATATACCATTTTGTATTCTTGATAAAATATATCATCATATACTTAATGTGAAATATATACCTGATATATAGGTTCTCATTTGTGCCAATTTTGTAGAATATTTTATCATATGAAAAGTTGTAATTATTTTAATTAAATATGCTATTATTGCCAAAAAAAAAAAGTTTGAAGTTCAACGTAAGCATTGTGTGGTGATGATTTGAATCTTCAACCTAGCTAAACTATATATATATATGCTCAATTAAGCCATTAAAGTTGCCTCTTTAAAAGAACAAATTTAACTAGAGGAGATGCAATTTATATTATGTTTCTTGTTTTTGAATTTATTTAATTTTAAAATTTATGTTTACATTGTTGTGGAATTACACTAAATAGGGCAAAAACATTGACACGTGTACACTCCCATGTTATAAACTCATTTTATTTTTAATAATTAAAATAATTAATATATTATAAATTAAATTATAATTATACAAAATTTATAATATAAAACATATTAATAAATTAGTTAATAATATTTGAAATACAACGAAATATTTAATTGTAATTATCAATATTACTGAACAAAGCTATTTAAATTGTGAGGATCCAATTTTTAAAACCATTACTAAATGCATATTTAAAAATACTGAAAATAACATATAATACATCTATATTTTTATTTTAAACTCCTTGTTTTCAAATTTTTGTCAAATTATTAACTATAAACCCATAATTTATGTGTAATCCACTTCTCAACTAAAATCGGTCAATGTCTCCATAAAAGATAATTTTAATTGGAAAAAGAAATTATAAGACTTTCTTAGTCTTATATATTATCACCAACCTAAAGGTTAGCTAACAGCTAAAATATCTTACTATTTTTCTAGAGTGGAATGTTCAATCTTCATCCTATATATGTTAATATTATCATAAAAAATATTAAAAGAAACTAATAGACCAAAATGGACTAGGTTTAAAAATCAAACCAACAAGAATTTTGAAATCAATAGACAAAATGGAACGGACTTGTTTGGTAACCGTTTCTCTTTTTAATTAATTAGAAAAATAAGTTATTGTTTATTGTTTCCATAGTTACTTAATATTTTTAAAACAACGAGACAAAAAATGAAAACGTTACCAAAATATACTACAAGTTATCTACAATTCCGAGAGGAGAAATTTGTTATCTCCTCCCGTAGGTTTTGATGCATTCATCACTATAAATACCCAACAAACCCTTTCAAACAAAAAACCATCTCAACTAGCTAGAGTACTCGTTTGATCCTCAACTCTCAGCTCAAAAGCTTAAACATGGCGAAATCTCTCTTCCTGGTGGCTTCTCTCCTCGTTCTGCTCGCAGCGGCGGTTTCGGGAGCCCGAAGGGAAGCTCTGGCGGGCGGCTACGAAGCGATAAAGAACGTAAACGATCCCTACATCCAAAGTCTGGGAAAGTTCGCAGTAGAAGAGCACAACAGGAAGGCCAAAGATGATCTAAAGTTTGAGAAAGTGAAGAGTGGACTTGTCCAGATCGTGGACGGGACCAACTACAGCCTTCAGGTGCAGGCCATTGACGGCACTGTGAGCCGCCTCTACAGCGCCGCCGTCTACAAGGACCTGAAAGGGAACCTCAAGCTCAACCAATTCTTCGCCATGACCAACTAGAATATTAAATCATTGATTATTCCTTTTCGCTATATGCATGCCAAAAAAAAGGCTCTCTTTGGAATAATGCCATCTTAATGAATAATCAAAAGTGATTTTTAATGGGTTTATTCTCTACTTTATTTTGTGTTTTGGTGTTTCTCTATGAAAGTTGGAGTTTGATTTAGACCGGGAAAATCGACTATTGATTCCCTATTCATTCATGGTGAGTTTAGGATGAAGTCAGTTTAGACCTTAAACATTGATTGTTTCAAATAATAGGAAGGGACATGATAACGTATTAATTGACACTAACACCTAAATGAAAGCTAAACTAAACGACAATAACATAATTTTTAGTGCAATGTGTGTGTGGGAGGGGAATATTGAATCATTCATTTATCGAATACGTCTTCTTCCTTTTTTTTCTTCCAAAATTTTATCCCATTCTTATTAAAAGGACGAGGACGGAGAATATTACATTTCCTCCCTCAGTCCAAATGACCTTGACCCAGAGTTTTAACTATTTAATTATATATATTTTACAATATTAAATATTTATGTTTTGTTTCTATGCAGTCAAGGTGGCTCAAGAATAAGTTTAGTAATCGAGTGTTATTTATTTTGACAATAACATAATTGAAGGGATTGGAGGGAAGGTTTTGACAAAATATTAGAATAAGTTGTCCTATTTGTACAATTAGAATGTGTGCTCGAGGTGCTATAAAAAGACATAACTTTGGATTATATTCATCCAAATTGAACCACTTTAATCTTGATATAATAACTTTAATTAATCGAGTGATATTTGCTTTGGAAAAATACTTGGCTCTTTAACGGTGAGGAACAATCTTGTTCTTTACCACCATTAAATGTCTGACAGCTAAGAGAGGAATGAAAAAACAGAGACATTTTATAAAAATTAATGAGTTGTTAATTTTTCAATGATTGTTAGGACAATATTTGATCCTCACCAGCCAAGTATTTGGGGGAGGGGAATATATGTGATTTTGTTTCGAAGTTTTCATATAAATTTTGTATTGTTTTACTATTATTATTATTATTTTTAAGTTCTCAGTTATTTTCTGTTTAATCTTACCGTAGAAATATGAAATTTTTTCTGTGGCTTAGGTATATCATATATGTCACTTTACTCCTTTTGAGTTTTAAAGCTGTATTTTAATCGTCTGAGTTTTAGGAACTAATTGACCTTAGTCTTTGATGTTACTTTTCCTGTCATAAAAAGGAACGGTGCTGATTGAATAATATTTTCTGTTCCATTTATAATGCCGAGGTATTAAAAAATTATATATTTTATAATTATAATTGCTGACGTGGCATTAAAATTAAAAAAATTCTATTTGTAAACATTCACACAAAAATATTTAGGCCATCAACGTTCTCGTTTCTTATTTATCATTTTCAATTTTGTTAAGAAATTTAAGTATTGGACAGCTACTCAGGTTTCTTATTTCTTGTTTTCTAGAAATGTTATCAAAAATGTAAATAAATTTTAGAAATAATAAAAACAAATTTTTTTTGTTTCTTCTTCGTATTTCCAAATGGTTCCAAAATATAAATAAAGATATTGTTTTATCATTCTTAAATTCATGGGGTTGATTCACTTGCAATTTTATTTTTCTTTATAAAAAAAAGAAAGAAACAATAAATGAGAAAGTTACTTACGGGCCATTATTTTTTAATTCCTACGCTAGAGGTACATGCCCAAAACTCAGTAGTAGCTACATTAGCCCACCCCTAAAGCCAGAAGCTCAACTCATGTCTCTAATTAACACTCCTAATTTAGTATTTCCAAACAATTATATGGCAAATTTGTAGTCTTTTCCCCCTTTGTTTACCAGTAGATAAGACATATATTACCACAACAAATTTTGTCTTCAATAACGTTAAAAAAAAAAAGAAAAAATCACAGAGGAATACAGTGACGTGACGAACAAAAAGAAAGCGCATAGAAAAAAAGGAATATACATGTTTCCACGGCGTTAATGACCGACATTATTTGTTACCAGCACAAGTAATAAAAAATTAGTTATTCTTTTGTATAGTTTAAAGTCTAAAATAAACGTTTTTGTTAAGGCTTCTACCAATTAGAGGTGTACATCAATTGATCGACATCTATTTTACAAGTAGGTTTTCATTGGTCGGAGTTTAATAGATTCGAAAGGCTCTTGTAACACCAACAGGGCGACTACACCCACGGTTGGTCAGTTTTAGTTGAAACCGTTGTAAGATAAACATGTTGAGAACTTTGAGCGCAACAAATACTAGGAGAAGAAGCGCGAGGAGATGGAAAGCCAAAAAAGTACGTAGTGAGAAGAAGAGAAAGGGAGAATAAGAGAGAAGGGGAGGGGAGGGGAGAGCTGAGACGGAGGTCGATTTTTCGAATAAAGAGACCGAAATTAGGAAGGGAGGGGAAGAGAGAGGGAGAAGAGATGTGATTCATGCGAACTAGAAACCCTTTTTAAAAGATGGAATATACCATCGCTTGTTTTTTCAAGGATAAAGTTGAGTTCCAAACTAATAAGAAGCAACCTTGTCCTTTACACTATTAAATATTTAACATCTAAGATAAATAAATACAATTTTTTAAATGCTGAGTTGTCAAAGTCTAAATTCACATTAAAGTTGAAAAGAAAACATATGAAGCAAATTCAACATTTTAAAAACAAACTCAAAAAATAAATCTTAAATTAAAATGAATCTCAAATCAAATCTAACATTGAAAATAGAATTAAAAAGAAACATATATGTAAAAAAAAAAAAACTAGAAAAAATTCAAGGATATGTGAGAATAATTTTGAAATAGTTTAGAAGACATGATCCTTAATTTTTGGTTGAAGTTATTTAAAAAAAAAGACATCTGTTGGGTTGTCTGAAAGGACCATAGAAGGTTCAGAGACAAAATCATATCAGGGATGTAATCGTCATTCTACTAATCTCGACATTTTCTTATCCACATACTAATTTACACATTTGGGTATCATGGACTTAGTACCATATTAGTATTAGATTCATTTAAATACAAGTTAATATATTGTCTATAGCGTGAGAATCCTCGACATCCCTGCCATAATTGTGCATCGACAAAATTAATTAGAAATAATTTTAGGGAATATGAATATTAGTAACAAGGGCAAAAGTTGAAAAATAAATAAGAAAAAACAGTAAAAATAGAGTAGGCATGTATGCGATTTATAATGCATTTGACCATTTTGCATTCTGGCCTTATAAATCTGTTCATTGCCTTCAAATTTGCAACAATTATTTACCCTATAATGCAACAAGCACGCGAAAAAAAAGGGAATAATTTAAGTCTACCTTGATGGATAAGAAATTTATTACTTTCCTAGAGTTGAACACAAAGGAAAAAATTATTGTTTTGTATAGTCTGACGTTTAAAATAAACAGCTTAAAAAAAGATTTAACATAAATATTTTTATTTAAAGTTTCGATAAATAATAAGATGGAACCATTGGTAAAATATCTCTGGCTTTAAGGATTTAGTTGGTGAATTGATTTAAGTAGATGATGCTGTTATCTTGTGGTATGACTTCCAAAGTGCAATTCATTTGTCAAAGAATCATGTTTATCATGAGTATGAAGTATATAGATGTTTGTTTACATTTTGTAACAGAAGTATTTGTTGAGAAAGCTGTGGTTTTCTTAACAAGATTTATAGGGGAGATAATATTGCTGATGCATTTACGAAAACTTCGTCATCCATAAAATTTGAAAAATGCACGAACCTACTTTTAGATACAACATATAATATACCGAAATCTAGTGAAATAAATATCTGACATAATCATAAAAATGACAAGTTACACATTTGGTCATTGAAATTTGAGTTTAGTTCATCCAAACATGTAGTCATGTGAATGCCTAAATTCTTTTTTTTTTTCCCTAATCTCTCTTCCTCTCCCATTCAATTTTCATCTACTCTCTTCCTCTCTTCTTTGTTTCTCTCCTCCCTCTCTCCATCTTTTTCTTCAACTCTCCCCCAACATTTTTTTTTTCTCCATTCTACTTCACTTTCTTATAATTTTTCCTCCTCTTCCACTTATTTTAATTTTCCCATCTCTCTCCATCTTCTCTTTCGACTCTCACCTTTCATATCTATCTTTTCAATAATATATATGGCAGGTTCAACCTTTTATATCCCTTAAAAATCAACCGAGCATAATCAAATAATCGGTAATTAGTATAGATTTTTCGCTAAATTAAGAGTGTGTTTGGGAGTGATTTTAGCATAGCAAAATCATTTTTACTATTTTGGTTCATGTACTTTCAGGTTTGATTTATTTTAGTTCTTACTATCAAAATGTTGGTCATTGTATTTACAACTTTGGTTCATTTTAATCATATACTTTCAAAATGTTCATTGTGGTTCCTATACACTAGTAGAAAATCGGGTTTCAACTGCCCGTCATTGAAGGGAAACAATGTCGGACATGCGTCCAACATGATTTCGAGTGTTATTGTAACTTTTAATGTCGGACGAGTATCAATGACGGGACTGGCCTGTCATTGTAGGTGACCGCCATTGTTTCTTACAATGATGGTCACTTATGATGTCGGTCGTGGCACGACATCAGTGTTATTGTAGCCTACAATGTCAGTCATTATATGTTCGTTTTCAATGGCGACATTTCCCGTCATTGTTTGGGTAATAATTTAATAAAAAAAAATTGTTGATTTCTCAAGTGGGCTAACTAACCATCTTTCTTTTAAAAAAATGCTAAGTACTTATTTATAAGTGATCATTTTGGCCCTTCATTTTATTTTTAATATCATTTTTCTATTACAATTTCAACATGACACTACCCACAATATATTTATTAAAATGTAACTATTAATTACTTTATATTAAATGGTTTTCGTTAAGTATATATTTTATGTAAAAAGTTTGAAAATAGAGACCAAAATGATCACTTTTTAAAAGTACATAACCAAAATGAATATTTTGAGAGTAAATGGACTAAAATGAACAAAAATTGAAA